GTAAAAAGGAAGATTGTGTCATTTCCTCTGTCAAATGTTACATTGCTTTAAAAAAAGTTGTTAATTCACAAGGTTGTGGGTATGTGAGGAACCCTTAAAATAGTTTCTTCAATAGGAGCACACACTATCCTGTTTCTTTTAGTATTAAAGATACTGTTTGTGTTCAGGTATCTAGGGGAGCCATAACAAGCAGAATATCTGCAGAATTGATAAGAAAAACCTGCATCTTGTTTCAAGTATTTCCTGTTTTCAAGGCTGATCATCTGAACTTGTGGGCTGGCATCTCAACAGCAAAAACAAACCACTGTTCTTTTCTTTTTTTCAGATTTTGCAGTGCTCCATTTAACAAGAGATTTTTGTAAGTACGGAGAGTAAAATGAGCTGTTTAACTATAAAAGCATTAAAGCAAAAATCACCTTGCAGTGAATAGCAAAGGACTACCGTGTAGGGAGACCATCTCATGTTAAAAAGGTTACGTGTGTGCGTACCTGTTGTTTGTTGAGGCTCTGGAAACACAGCTCAAACTGTTCATCCTTGGTCTCCATGGTTTTGCCCAGTTTCTGAAGGACCTGAGAGAGGACAACCGTCAGAGTCAGCTTCAACATTAGATAGACAAAGATTTCTAGCATTAGTGTTTAGATATAAAATAGTTTAAGGGGAACTGCAACCATTAAAGTGTGTTTAAACGTATTCAAGAGTACAACTGCATATGTGGAAAAGGTTGTAGAACACCTTTATTTGTGGCTTCAGAGGTAACTTTGTGAAAGGGCCTGAGTTAATGTCAGTTGGGGGTGAAGACTACAAGATTGAAAATGAAAAAAAACTGTGGATGTGGCGTTAAAATTAAATGAGCTTATCAGACCTCTGCAGGCCATTCCTCAGCTCGGCTCAGAGCTAGATAAACCCCTATGTGGGCTGCTAAGTCGCAAAAAATTGCATACAGACATGCAAAAGAATATTTCTGGTGACGAAGATACAGCATCAGAGAACACAAGCTGATTTTTCAACAAACGTCCCACAAAGTATCTGAGGTATATCGTTATTAGATTTTATGATTACAAACACTTTGGGAGTTTTAAAACACCTGATGATGTATTATGAACACGATATGTACTGAACTGAACATTCTGCAGTTGAAAACAAGAAAAGAAAAAAATCCTCTTGTCAGCGCCCTCTAGTGGATACATTCTGTAGTCGTGACACTGTCTCTAAATTACCTCAAACATCTCTTTGGCATTTCTGTTCTGTACTTTCTTGTTACTTACTGGTCAACATATATGCCGATATCAATGTATCTGCAATAAGCTACTGCCAGGATACATTGAGATACATTGGCTGCTGATTTAGCGGCCTCGCACTTTTAATCCTAACAGATTAAGGCTCCTCATACTGTGCCACATACTCCTATGCCTCCCCTAAACTAGACACACATGGCTAACTATTACAGTGCCTTTCACAGTCCACTGCTTGCAGCTGTTTGAAAGCCAACGGCCAATGACCTTTAAAATCTGCAACAAAGGCTCTCATTATCATGTCTATCCTCCCATTTTCCACGATAAAAAAAAAAAAAAAAGACCCAAAATAGGCTTCATCCTGCAGCTTCAGAGTACATGCAACCGTCTGTTAGCTGCTGTTTTTTAGGTGGAGCAGCGAAATCAAACAAGTCAACCACAAACTGAGTGAGAAAGGCTCAGCAAGCGAGAGGAAGTGCACAGTCAGGAAGTGGCAGCTTTTGTGTCCGCACACAGCTGTACAGCGCTCAACAACACCATGATGCTCAGGCAGGGAAAGTCCATGCTACTGTTTTATGAATGCAGTAGAGCCAAAGGGCCAATCATTCAAATGCAGATATTTATAACATACAGCAGACAGGGCTCAGATCATGAGCTTTACGGTCTTGTACACTGGACGGTCTGTGCAGAGAGTGCTTCCTCCTCTCTCATGGTCAGTCTCGCAGGTTTTGTTCCACTTTGATATGATGAGGTCCAGCAAACAGGCTTGACCTGATTTCACCCTTTTACATGGGAGCATCTTATTATGAGTAACAGTTTGGTTCAGAACTAGATAACATGACTAGAGGTAGGCAAAGTACCAGGAGCTACAGAGCAACATATTTCATAAGTAATACAGCTATTATGTCTTCCAGGGAAAATAACTAATGTACTAGAAGCTTCACCCACTTCACATATGAATCATACTGCTTCCAAAGAAACTCTGAAGAAGTAAGGTCTGTTTAATCTTACAGCAAGGCTCCAAATGAGTCCAAACCTCAGGATATAAAGCTGGGTGTCTATGTCGTGGCTTACCAAGCTGATGACAGTGCTTCTCTAGTGTACAGTTCTGAACTTAAACAGACCGAGTGGAACTTTACCAAGTGGATGCCCCCGGCTCACCTTCTCCTGGGCTCGATTCACAGACTTCTGGACCCGTTTGGCGAGGAATCCAGCTCCAGCTTGAAGTTTTGGGCCCATCTTATTCTCTGCCATCGTCAATTTTCTACCTCGGTTTCTCCTCAACGAGCGCGGTCCGCCTCCTGTCTGCTGCTTCCTCCTGAGGAACTGTCTCACTGCCTCACTGCGGCCGCCGAGCGCAGGCTTCGGTTCAAGGCAACGGAGGTGGAGCAACAGTGTGTCAAGACACAGGGGGACACACACACACACACACACACACACACACAAACAGGCGTTGTTAAACCACAGCTGGGAATCAAGTCCTTCATAACATCATCATCCTCCTCCTCCTCCTCCTCCTCGTCATCATCAGCGGGACTCTTGTTGTATCTTGTTAGAGGAATGTCTGCGGAGCGTGGCTGCGTGTCCCGATGTGTTCAGCTCTCATCGTGTAGACTGTTGCTAAAGGTGGAAGTCCCCCAACGACACTCACCTGGAAATGATGTGCGCAGATTGCGTCTCTCTGATGATGCGGACCTGATGCAGCAGCGTGACGTGAGCAGGGGAGCCTCAGGTTAGCGGCAGTGATTGACGTGCTGCCTTCAAATGGGCCTCATAATGATCTGATATTAATGTAGAGCTCTATGATTGCCCTATTTCATAACTCTGATAACGATATCATGTTGCCTCATCGGTAAAAGCTGAGTTGGCCATTGTTGACGCATCTGCTTCTAATAGTAATATGACTAACGGGTCAATGTCCTAACCCATGTGGCATTCTTCACTTTAACGTGGACACTGTTTGAAAGAAATGTGCGCTACCACAGACAGTACAGCTGAAAGTGTGTAAATGTCAATATGAGTGGAAAACACACTCATTATTGTGATGTAAAAGGAATTGAAATATGTAAAAGTAAGGGTTAGGCCTACAGTTCATTACACATACACGATATAACCTTTTTAATGTAATTCAAGATGACCGCAAACTGGGGACAAATTTGGAAAAAGTAGATTTTAGTCAGTTAAGTCTCCAGAAAATGAATGTGAGTCTATGTAATGACCCCAAACGTGAAATAAGTAAAGGTATGTGTGTGTGTTTTTATTTTATTTTATCAACATTATTCAAAGAATAAAAAAGAAGCAAAGATTAGTTCATATGTCACTGAGATTATATATTTGATTGTTTTCTCCTTTACTCATATAGATCAGTTTACTTGAGCGAGGCTCAGCCTGCAAACAGTTGCATAATGTCTTCTGTGGCTCTGAAATATCTAAAGTTAACAATAATAACATCTCCATTTGGGCCTGAGGCTTAAAAAAATAAAGGGCTGTGTTTTGGAGTCTAACGAAAGATGCTATCAAATTGCATTCTGGGAAGGATCTAGCATTTTAGGAACATGACCCATATTTTTATTTTATTTTATTATTTTATTTACTATTCTAATCTAATAATTGAATTAAATTTGGCTATATTTTATATTCTAGGGGTGTGTAGCATGAAGGAACTACAATTTTGTTACGCAACCTTGTGTTGTATAATGACAAATAAATTACCTTGATCTTTGATTAGGGCCTAAAAGTCAGGATATCTCTGCTGCTTTGCTTTCGATCAGTTTTTTATTAACTGGTATCTCATCCTCCAACATTATGAAAGTACAGTATCACTGGAGAATCCCTTGTCTTTTCTTTTTTTACTCATTCGACTATTTTGAGTGACATTGTTAACAATAAACAGACAATATGATTTATAAACAGGGGTGAAGTGGTAAATACAGAGGTGGGTAAACTGTGGTTTAAAAAAAATGGATGAGTAAACTCTCAGCCTCATTTCAAAGAGGTGGATAAACTGAGATACCCTCATCACTATTCCATTTAGTTGTTAAGTGGTCTCAGTAATTTATCCAGCTCATCCAATCCATCAAGATCACACTAAGCCCATAGTCTTTGGTTCCGTCAGCAAATTTAAGTTTAAGTTTAAAGATAAGAACATAATGTAATGATCATGGGAATCGCCGTTGAGCCCCGGAGGAGCAGAGCCCCTGAGTAACGCCAGTTAAAGGTTGTATAGGAATATGAATATGCACTGCACCTGTTACCTGTCATCATCAACTGTGACCGGCAGATGGCGCTAGATAACAGACTATTTGCTCATGAAGCAACACTCAGACAAGTAGAGGTAACGGAAGGACAGAAATCTGAAATTGTCAGAGTTGCCACATTATCAGTTATCGATTGTGTTGCTATTAATCCTAAACGTTAACACCATGCTCTTCTACACTTCACTTATTTCTTAGTTTAGGTTAAGCTGTCTTCCATAGGCGCCTGTAGGCCCCCTTCTTTCTGTTATCGTCGCACCCACTAGTATGAGGTCTATATTGTTCTATGTAAAGGCGGGTCTAATAAAATACTTTGGTTTTAATTAGAATATTCACGGTAATAATAGTTTTAGTGCTATACGGCATGTAACTCTGTGACGTTTTTATAGGTAGGTGCGTTTTGGAGCACGGGGTTGACCGCGCGGGCGGGGTTCTTCTTGTTATTAATGAAGAGCAACGGCATATGCGGTGCAGACGGTGGATAATACCGAGTGCACCCAAACTAGCGAGGCAAGAAATGGGGAAAGACGTCTGGCGCGGTCGGTAGATAGCGGCTGACAGCGGAGGGAGAGCAACCGAGGACGAGCCCGCGGTTAATCAGCTTTCTAGTGTTTTCTCTTGGAGAAAGGGCAGGCAGACATTCGTACATTGACTGGGGACAGAGTTGGTGCTTTTTAATTCGGGTTTTTCCTCTTCCTCTCATCGGCCGTCTGTCGAAGCTTGCCCCGCGCAGGCAGACGGAAATACCTTCAAAATGCCTCCCATCGAAAATGACACCGGGAAGAATGAACTCAAATCCCGGATACAGCTGCTTATTGACTCCAACCAAGTGTTGGTTTTCAGTAAGAGCTACTGCCCGTTTTGTGTCAAGGTAAGGTACTTTCTGTCGAAGAGGGAGACCTTGCTTATGCCGGTCGGAAACTTCCATCTTCTCCCGCGAACTACACGGGCTTGGTCTAATTGCTGGCGTTTGCTTGCTAAGTTACGTTAGTTAACGCAGCCAGCGACTGCGGTTCCTCAGCGGATGAATACTATAAATGAATATAAAATAACCACATTACATACAAATGTTAGCTAACGTCAACCCGTTTAACAGAGTTTACCGTAGGTTGATATTGGGGCGAGATATTATCAGGTCACAAACGCGTTAGCCGCTTAACTGATTGTGGACGCACTTCTATGAAAAGTTGTGTAACTTAGTTCACAGCTAACTAAGCTATAGTAGCTTAGTAACATAATTAGACCTCAAGTATCGGACGCGCTGTCTATTCGGCACACATCCTGTTCACAAAGCAGCACTTGTTTCTGTGAGTTAGCTGCCTTCCGCCTACATAAGATACACACAGAGGAGGGTAACAGACAATGAGCAGGATTATAGCATTCACTGAAACAGACCATTTTAAATCATCTGTGTGGACTGTTCAAGTGTTTAAAGCAATTTGAACTCGATGTTTTGCTAACAGGGAAGAGCTTTTTGTGTCTTATACCCTGTAACTGGTGAAACTGATCAATCATTTCTCACATCTGTGTCATTGTAGGTGAAAGACTTGTTCAAAGAGCTGAAGGTCGAGTGTAATGTGGTGGAGTTGGATCTCATAGGTAAGATGGAGATGTTTTGCTCATACAGTAGAATGTTCCCTGCCATGTTTCAAAAGATACTGGAGATACTGTTCTATTGGAGACGCAGTCTAAAACTCAGAGATACAATAAACGTATGGCTTATAAAAGCAAGATGAAGTTCAGTCCATTGTTTCATATTTATTCAATCTCAATATGGCACACAATGGTGTCGGGTCCACACAGGACTGAAAGAGGTGTTTTCTTCAGTACAATGTTCTCTTGTTGATATTAGTAACATCTTAGCTCACATTAGCATCTTTAAGCAGTATATGAACATTGAACAAGTGTTTGATAACAGACTATATCAGTGTTTATTAATGTCTTTGTAATACATGAATGAACCTGTACACATGTCCCTACAGCTGTTACTAACCATGTATTGATATGATAGTAATCCAGTAAGTTTTCTGCTAACACGTTTGAAAGTGGTTCTGCATTATACTGTAGGGATGTTGTCGTTTGCAGCAGCACAAAACATGCTGAGTCACTCACTGAAGATATCTTGGCCCCATGCCATATCTCAGTAAACTCACCCTCTCTGCTCTGTATTGTCTAGTTATTTCTGACAGTCTCAGCTGTATGTGGAAGGTAGTAGGGATGAGAATTGATAAGATACAAGTACCATTATTGATTCGGCTTATTGGTCCGATTCATTGTTGATTTCCTTATTGATTCCTGATCAACTTTCTGTGTGGAATTCAGTGTCAGTGCAGCTGTTGTGTTATCGCTGAGTCTGAACACAGTGGAGAAAAAGAGTAAAGTTATAGTAGTTTGAGTCTCTCTATGAATGAATCCACGCTTACGCAATGCACAACTGTCAGAAACCATGCTGGCAGGGATAAAAGGAATTGATAAGATCAGTGGCATACAATTACCATGGATCTGACAACATGGAAATGGTTCTCAATCCCTGTCCCTAGATGGTAGTATATAGAGATGGTGAGTCAGTGGATGGACAAACCGGATCAACTGAGATCTGACAGCGATAAAGTTCAAGTTCACAACATTTGAATTTTTGACATTTAAAGAGTCACATCTTGCTGCTATGGCAGAACAGAGTATGTCCACTGTTAGTGAAGGTAGGACGGCTCCATTATGGCAGAAATCCTAGCAATGATTGTTTTTTACTTATTGACTGTGGAAACATCATGCATTTATTGAACTTAAAAAAACTAAATTGGAATTGACAATAAAATAAAATGTATCACAAACCCCCAGGGGAATGTATACATTTTCCCAAATCTGTTGATGTCATGTTTCCTGGCACAGCTGGTGGTGAAAACATCACCCTCATCATCATTACAACACATAGTAGTAGTCCGGAAGATTGATTGGCTTGTGTTCACTAAAATCCTCTGACAGGACGCCTCAAGGAAAGATCTGCTTGACCTTTAGATTAGTAAATACACTAAAGAATATATCTTAAATTAGTGGGTATATTAAATTGCAGGTAACCATAGCAACAGTGCAGCTTTGTATTACTAGTAAACTCTGACTGTTTAAACATGCAGACTTTTGAAAAGTAGGCGACCATATGAGCAGATCATGTTCGTATTGTAGGAAGTGGCCATGGTGTAAGCACAGAAATGAACTCAGTGTAAGTCCTCCATGTCATGTCAGACTTCCTTTTATTAGTTTTGCATATTGTTTGCGTATTATCGAGCACTCTGTGAGGTGATCATTTGGGTGAAGATTCAAAACAAATGCATAATTCAGAGGTAGTACAGTATTGGCGTATGAAAAGTAGATGTGTTGAATGTATGGTTAGTATTCAGAAACCCTGTGAACCTAAACACAAACCCTTCTGTCCAGAGGATGGAACCAACTACCAGGAAATGCTTCTTGAGATGACTGGACAGAAAACGGTTCCCAATGTCTTCATCAACAAGACGCACCTTGGCGGCTGTGACAAAACGATGCAGGTGAGGAACAAGGGTGTGTAAATATTTGCTGTTCTTTGGTTGCGTTACACATCAGTGTAAACGCTGTATATTTCCTCAGCACATGATCGCCATGAAATGTTGCTCAGTCAGTTGGTTTGTTCAGCTGCCAGAAACTGTACAAACGGCAGTTTGGTTCAAGTTACATTTGGAGCGGGACCCACTAGTTTTAATTTGTGTAAAATATACTCATGAAGTGCACTATATCTTCCCTCCCAAGCACAGAAAAAACAAACACTCATTAGACCTTTGTCACAGTGGACATAGCAGGAAAAGAATGGGTGCAACCAAAAACTTCTAGCTGTGCCAAGAGGTCATGCTAGTGAGCAACGCATGTTCTTTGTGAGGAAATACTGGAAACGTGAGAAAATGGCGGCGGTGATAATGCACTCTGAGGTGTCCTGATGCAGGAAGATGGCGCGCTTGGTTGAGGGAGCTCATATTTTGTCTTTATATAAACAGCTGCTGGAACGTAGTTGCATGAGCTGGCAGGTACGACATTGAATCTCAATCAACTGATAGTCAAACAGCAGCAGGTAGTGTAGATGCTGTGGTAAACTATAATTGCATCTTCCCACAGCTTTTAAGTGTTGACAGGAGCGCACAGTAACTTTTCCATTTGAATACAAGCTATTAGCTCTTTTTTCATTACAGGAAGTTCTACAGGAACACGATCTCTAACCTTGAACAGTCTTCTTCGTTCTAGGTTCTGCTTTGTTTTCCACTGTATATTTTACCATCCAGAATGCTTTGGATTGATGTCATTAAAAAAGTTGACACAGATATTGGCATTTTAATGCTCTGCTTGGTAAGCAAGTGTGCAGTTCAGCTGTGGGGCAGATATCAATGGAGAAAGTGGTGCTAGTACAGATTTTCTTGTACATTTACGAGAAACGTCTGTATCGATAAATTAAAAGAAGAGTCCTACTTGTGCTAGGAGGTCCACAGAATGGAGCAAAAAGAGTGTGTGAGACCAGCAATGGGCCAGCTCCCACTCTGCTAAACAGCTCTCCAGAGCCGGGCACGTCCCTCGGTAAAGAGGCACAGCTGCCGGTCCCGCTCTCTCTGCTCTGTAATATCAAAAACCACAGGGAAGTGGCAGTGAAGGAACCAGGGGGAGAACTATTTTCTTTCCTTTTTCTTTTCTTCAAGAGAAAATATAAAGATGTTTGGTCATACTGCCTCGCTACTAAGTGGAAAAAATGGCTCACTACTGGAAATGTTACATACAAATACAGATGTACAAATTTAAAGATAACTTTTCACGGACACTTTCACACGGTGCAAACAATCTACAGTTTAAACAGACAAACGCAGGACATTGCAACAAAACACACATTGAGTATTCTGGAGGAGAGTACGGCCTGTATATTGAAACAAACTTCCTTCAGTGTTTATCTAAACACGTGTTATTAATTTTGGTGATTGTTGTATTGCATAGCAGCTGTTTCATTCCTTCTCCTTAGAGTTCCTGAGCAGTGCTGTGATTTAGGTTCAGAAAATTGCCCCCAGAGTGGGAGGAGTAAGGTGGAAACAATAGCAGAACCCTCCATACATGTTGGATGTACATATTGATACAAAATTGTGTTAATGTTTCTGTCAGGCTCATAAAGACGGCAGCCTGCAGCAGCTACTCACCGGAGACAATGAAGCTTATGACTACGACCTGATCGTCATCGGAGGAGGATCTGGAGGCCTTGCCTGCTCAAAGGTGACAGAATTTAGTGCGACAGAATTTAGTGCAACACAATCAGTGTTTCCTGTTGAAGCTTTATTGTAGTGAATGTTGCTCTGTTGTGCAATTTTGGGGTTTTCAGAGAGTCAGAGTGAAACTACAGATAATCAGTAATCAGTAACCAGTTATGTTTTAGCTAATTACTGTTTGTACTCATTACAGATTTGTGTGATGTTGCACTAACGTTGGCTCTGTTGACAATAGGAAGCTGCTATGTTGGGAAAGAAGGTCATGGTACTGGACTATGTTGTGCCCACACCCAAGGGAACCTCTTGGGGTAAGATGCTTCGACTTTAGCATACTGAGACAGATATGTGTGATGCAAATTTATTTGAATGTAATCCGGTTGGTAACTGACCATTTCCGCGCTCTGTTGTGTTGATCAGGCCTTGGTGGAACATGTGTGAATGTGGGCTGCATTCCCAAGAAGCTGATGCACCAGACGGCCTTGCTAGGCACAGCCATGCAGGACGCACGCAAATTCGGCTGGGAGTTTGAGGAGACAGGTGAGGGCTCAGAGCACCGACCCAGGAGGTCACGGAGGGGTGACATCACACCGGCTTGCCGTGGTAAATCAGAGGCAAGCCTCATCAGTAGTCACTCTTTGTTGTTCCACTGAATCCACTGATGGCTGTCTGTATGTACGCAGTGAAACACAACTGGGAGACGATGAAGACGGCAGTGAACAACTACATTGGCTCGTTGAACTGGGGCTACAGGGTGGCACTGAGAGACAAGAATGTTAACTATGTCAATGCCTATGCAGAGTTCATTGAACCACACAAAATCAAGGTAAATGAGTGCTTGTGATACAAAGGAACCTTAAATGTACTTGTACAGGTCTTTAGCTGGGTTTGCTGGTTAGGTTCCAGATTAAGGAGACTTGACATACAGGAATTTCTATAACTAACTGTAACGTAACTTTTTATTTTCAAATAGACTAAGCCTAACGTCTTCCTCTTTTCTTGGCCAAGTTGCCACACCTAAACTAATCTTGATAAGCTGTATGCCTAAAATGGTGTCTAATCTGTTGTGGCAACCTATTTTTTTGGTTGTTTGTCTTGGTCAGGCTTGACTTAACTTTTAGTTTCCCTTTTTTGGCTGCCTTTCAGCATAGTTGTTGTTGGTTTTCGTACTTGTTATCACACTAGCGGCTGCACCCAAAGCAAATAGATTTAAAATTATTAAAACAGCACTGACAAAATATTCTGTTTTAATGAGCTTATTGTAGCTCTGTGTTCCTCTGAGCGCCTGCTGCAACATTATCTCAGAGCTTCTGTTTGTTTTCTGACAGGCAACAAACAAACGAGGGAAGGAGACACTTTACACAGCGGCTAAGTTCGTCTTGGCCACAGGCGAGAGGCCGCGCTACCTGGGCATCCCTGGAGACAAGGAGTACTGCATCACCAGGTGAGATCACAATGCCAGCTACATGGTGGCTCTAACACCACCAGCCCCATCTAATGACATGCCTTGTTCCTGAAGGCCCCACCCAGAGCTCAGTTTCAGACCAGAAGGGGGGTTCAGCAGTTGTCTGAAGAGTTGTCTGCCTTGCGTGCGTGCGTGCGTGCGTGCGTGCGTGCGTGCGTGCGTGCGTGCGTGTGATCCCTAAAACACAAACACACCCTTTTAATGATCTGGACTCTTGTGTCCTCTGCAGGTGGCTTTGCCTCTGGGCACCCATTAATCTCCCAGCTTGGTGAATGTTGTGTAAGATTATCCTCAGGTGTCTCTGCTGATTATTCTGCTGTTTTGGCAACCCACAAATGGTCTCATGCTGCTCACTCAGTCCTGCAAATCCTCAAAGCAAAGGTTGTTTCCATACCAGAGCCAGGGACTTCAGTACTGACACTGTTTTTTATTGTGTCCCATAGTGTTTCGAATATGTAGGCATATTTGTTATTTACAGGAAAGGCCCTTTGGAGAGAGGAATATCTATGTGGAAGTGTGTGGACATGTTGTTGTTCCCTGCATTATTGTTGCACTGCAGCTTCATGCTCTACCCCTGCTCTGTCTGAACTCCTCCGTGTCTCTGTTTGTCCACCAGTGATGACCTCTTCTCGTTGTCTTACTGTCCGGGGAAGACCCTGGTGATCGGGGCGTCGTATGTGGCTCTGGAGTGCGGCGGTTTCCTGGCCGGCCTGGGTCTCGACGTCACCGTCATGGTCCGGTCCATCCTGCTGAGGGGCTTCGACCAGGACATGGCCAACCGTGCCGGAGAGCACATGGAGGAGCACGGTGTAAAGTTCCTCCGCAAATATGTCCCAGTAAAGGTGAGCGTTTACTAGAGTGTTAAAACATGTCGCTCCAGTATGTAGTTGTAGTTGCAAGAAAAAGTTGTGTATGACGTGTTAAAATTGAATCTCTCAGCAATAGAAATGTTTTTTTCCTCGGACTGACCTGTGTCTGTTTGTGTCAGGTAGAGGAGCTGGAAGCCGGCACTCCAGGCAGGCTGAAGGTGACAGCCAAGTCCACAGAAAGCGATGAGATCATCGAGGGGGAGTACAACACTGTACGTACTGATTGATTCCCTTAACCCTCCCATCTCTTACTGGTCTTACTGTTGGCTTTCCCCACATCTCTTTTACAGTCTTAGCTTTCAAGGGCTGCTTTTTTTTTTTTTTTTTAGATTTAATAGTTTAGGCCACCATAACTTGTTGGTTCATGTTGTATTTTCATTGGCTGAATGTCGACATTTCAGTTTGTGATGCAGTTTGGGTATTAAAATTTTTGACATTTGACAAATGAGTCTTCATGCCTCAAAAATCAACAGAGCTGCCATGTTGTTCTGATGTTCACACAGGGTTGATCCCGCACACTGTTAAAGTCTAAAAGTGCAAATAATTAGTTTATTACATTTATAAGTTGCAGTGCCTTTTTTCTTTTCTCTTGTTTTTACTACTTTGGTCTACATTTCACCATTCACCATAAATAAAACACCAGCAACTTCCCAGCAGGACTGACCCGAGGACTTCCTTTAAACAAGCCATCTCTTTGTTCTTCAGGTGCTAATAGCGGTGGGCCGAGACGCATGCACAGACAAGATTGGCTTGGACAAGGCCGGGGTCAAAGTCAACCCCAAGTAAGTTTTATTAGCTCTTTTTTTTCCCTACATTCATCACCCCATTAGGTGGGGCGTCCTGTGCCTTTAAGACTCGTGGTACAGTCATGGTGATTCAGCAATTATTGCCGTCCCATGGTTCTCTGCAGGGGTGGTGTGTGAGTGCGTTGAGGGATTTGGTAGGGAGGAAGAGGGGTTGTCTTGTTAGCACTATGAGAAAGCCCCTGTATGGTGTATGAGCAGTGTTTTATTGGTGTGGAATCACTGATATAAATGTAAGCATTCTACATGGTGTCAGCTCTTATTTTATAAGACTCAGTCAGGGTTCAGACATATCCTGCTGTCCCTTTTTAATGCCTGTTTATAATTTCAAAGCTGAAGTTAGAAATGTAGAGTTATAAACCAATCTTATAAAGTCATATGTTGTGCAGTTGATTGATTTATTCCATTATTACACTTGTAGAAACTCTAGCTTTTTCTTAGTCTTTCCACTATTTTGTGAATGAATGGTTCAGCCTTAGAGCCCAACAGAGATTAAGACGGCATGAGGCCAGCTTAAAGGAGTGCCGGGTGAGTCATATGCCCCGGTCTTATGACCTAAGTAGTATTCCGATGAAGCCGACAGTCAGAAAGCCACTGGGTTCAGGGTTCATCAGCAGGTCTCTGTGTTCCGCTGCTGTACAGTGTAGAATACAGTGGGCTTTATAAAAATACTACAGTTGTCTTTCTCCTTTCTGTCCAACATGACCTTACCTTACCCACTTCAATTTATTTCTGCTTTTTGATGGATAAGACGATTTTCTGCTTCATTTAATGTGCCAGATACCTAGTTTACCTGTAGACACCAAAGATATTTAGAATACATTGGAATAAATGCTAACAGTGAGAAAAGATCATCAATTAGGGATGTTGTTGATGAAGTTTTTTGCCCAGTCCTAACTAGATACTTGTATTTACCTAAATAATGCATGTGTGCAGTGCACAATTAAAGTGATCTGCAATGCATAAAGGGGGGGAAAAAAACGTACATTCAAGTTGTTCTTAATGCTTGTTTTGTTTTTCTGCCTAAATGTTACCTTTTGTGATCAGATCAGGATCATTAATCGGAATCGCTCTTTCTAGAATGTTCTCTATTTAGTAGGGCTAAAGTAAATGTCATTTTACTCTACAATAAAGGCATTGCATTTAAACAAAGTATGCCTTGTTCCTCCAGGAATGGAAAAATTCCAGTGAATGATGAAGAGCAGACCAATGTGCCCCACATCTACGCCATTGGAGACATTCTGGAAGGCAAGTGGGAGCTGACTCCTGTAGCCATCCAGGCCGGCAAGCTGCTGGCGCGACGCCTCTACGGGGGCTCAAAACTCAAGGTACATCAAGAGACACTTGCACTGTGGACCTACAAAACGCTTTATATAGCAAACAGTAATTCATTGTCTGTGTCTGTGCAGTGTGACTACATCAACGTTCCCACCACTGTCTTCACCCCACTGGAGTACGGCGCCTGTGGTCTGTCGGAGGAGAGAGCCACTGAGCTCTACGGGCAGGAAAACATCGAGGTAACGCAAACATTCACACTCATCTGAATAATTTAACTGTCTGCTTCACTGACTGTGAACCTTGTGACAGGCTGGAGTGAAGTGTATCTCAAAGATAAGAGTCATACTTTGTAAACAATGCATGTATATAATACTGTAAAACGTCAGTAGACTTGACTAGAAACTCATTCGCAGAATTTGTCCTTAATTTATAAAGTTTCACATTATAAATAAAGCTGACCAAGAGTCAAAGAGTCAATGTTCTTCATTAATCAATTGATTGGTTTGTTAAAAGTCTGAAAACCGTGACAAATGCTGTCATAATTACACAGAGCACAAAGTAAAACTTCAACAGTGCTTGTCCATCCAACAATTAAAAAGGAAAAAAAAATTATTACAAATAAATGAAGATCATTAAAATGAGATACAGAAAATTTTGTTGCTAATTAATTTTCTGTTAATGGACTAATCAGTAAATTGATTAATTTCTATTTCAACATCATATTTTATAAGCTCTTCATTTGTTATGTATGCAAGATTTGTAAAGTAACTAGTAATTAAAGCTGTCACACAATTGTAGTAAAGTAGGAGGAGGCATGAGAAGGAATAATGAAAGTACTAGTTCCTCACATTTATACTGCTGTACAGTAACTGAGTAAAAGTACAGTCCATTCCATCATGGCTGTGTTTCCTTTGAGCAGTTTAAAAAAAACTTGTCCAGTCGGATCTGTTTTGTCTGCGGTTTCCTTCTAGTTGCAGCTTGCCTGTGTACAAATAGTGATTTTTACTTATACTTGTTTGTTCATGCAGGTCAGTCAGCATTCCAACCAGAACAGATAATGGTGTATTATTGCATAATTCAACTGTAATATGAGCTCCTCCATACACTCAGACAGACTGACTGCAGATTTAGTTAAATTTTCATGTTAAAGATTCAGAAGAAATGGCAGACAGTAGATTCGTCTTTGGCTGTGTCATTAGTGATGAGCATTATTAGTGCCTGCCTTAATATAATGAATGGGACTGATGTTGAACTGATATTACTGCTGTTGACACCGCAGAGCATCACTGTGTTTCTGGTCTGTCTGTTCAGGTGTACCACAGTCTGTTGTGGCCTCTAGAGTTCACTGTGCCCGGCAGAGACAACAACAGATGCTACTCCAAGATCATCTGCAATAAACTGGACAACGTAAGACCATCTCTACGTTTACACTGTCTGTCCGTAGCAACCAGAAGCCTGTACCCGTGTTCTGTCACATGAGTGATCGTGTTCTGGTGTTCCTGTAACACTGTAGGATCGAGTCATTGGCTTCCACTATCTGGGTCCAAACGCTGGAGAGGTGACTCAGGGCTTCGGCGTAGCCATGAAATGTGGCGCCACCAAGGAGCAGCTGGACAACACGATCGGCATCCACCCAACCTGTGCTGAGGTAGGAAGTCAGCTCTGTCATTATATGACAGAATTTATGTTTTATTTATCTTGAACCTTCAATCTCCTCTGCCGTCTGTTTTGATTCACTGTGTTCTTACAAGTGATGAGTCAGATTGAGCTGTGGGACTTTGACTATGGCTGACTAGAAAATGTTTGCCTTCTGGGAAAATGTAACATATTCAAGAACATTTTACTGTGAAAGAGGGTACCAATACAAAGAGTTTCAATAGCATACAATCTCAGTGCAGTGCTTCCTAATGTTGCAGGTAGGAATGTCCCAATCCGACCTCAGAGTTTGGTATCAGGGCCGGTCAAGGCATGTTTTAATGTTTTATTTTTTTTATTGAGCCTGATCCTTTGTTTTACATCAGTGTGTTACTAGCAAAGCTTTCATGCACAGCAACGCAATAAGCTCTGTGTGTGTCAATGGCTGAGCCCCGCCCGTGGCAGAGTTTGGGTGGGGGTGGGGCTCAACCTCTGCTTAGACTAGAGACAGACAGCAGTGGAAAGCCGACACAACCACACTCACCACGCCACTGCAAGTGCAACAAAAGCTAATGGAAGTAAGTAATTAATGTATTCTGGGTAAAAGATGTGGATACAACAAAAATAAACTCTCAGCAGAATACAGTTCATTCAGGCAAAGTCTGCACTGAACCCAAACATTGGTGAGAAACTCCCCAGAGACAACGACAGGGCCAGGAAGATTACAGAGGGTATGTTACTTTTATATGTACATTAAGAAACAGCTTGGATATCTTTTAATGTGCATTGTGCATCTGTCCTGGCTAGGATAATACAAGTGTTGGATCAGGGGCTTGGTATCAGCAGATAGTATTCAGTGACTCTGATCAGGATCAGGGACAAAAAACCTTGAGGACATCCCTAGTGGCTCAGTACATTGTGCAAACAGAAGCGACTGATGTCCTCACTGCTGGATATTTCAACTGGTTACTGAGCTCTCTGAAACCTCTTTCCCCTCATTACTCACTCCACAACACCGTTGGAAAGCCACAAATTGTTTTCCTATCTTTTCTTTCCTGCCACCACTGGTCATCAGGGTGCCATTGCCTTGGAAACATGGCGCTTGGATCAGAGTTAGCCAGGGAGTAGGGTGGCTAACTTTTAAGGCTTAAAATAAGTCGGCCTTTATTTTTGTAACTGTCCAGCTTGCATCAGACTGATCTAAGAGCAACATGAAGACTGGCCTAACACTACAGACGGGTCTAAAATATCCTTATGAAACAGACCCTAATACTACACTACACAGTATAACAAAACATTGATGTTTTCTGCCACAGGCTTCTGTTGACTAACCAGTAAATGTCCAAATGCTGTACAGGAACATGGTTTATCAGTATAGGTGCACAACAAACATGTTGAACTGTGTAGTGTATGAATGTATATTGCAACATTGCCACCTTTTTTTTTAAAGATTTACACTTCCTGTATACGACATGCAGCACAAGAAAGTGGAAACAAATGTCTAAATCACTTCACTCGGATTGGCTTTGCGATGGTTGTGAACCTTTTGCTTCCTGTTGAAATACTTTCTCCTCCCTCCTTTTTCTATCTTTTTAGTCTAATTCTGTGTGAATGATTGGTGCCTTGCTGTGCCAGGCACAGATTTCACAATACATACAACAGGGGAGCAGGCACAGGCTTAAAGTATTAACATGTCTGTTTTTAGAGGCTTGAGTTTCTTTTTATCATGCAGGAAGATAATTTGATGTGTTTGTGTAACATGTTTTTTGTTTTTTGCTGATCTTAAGCTGAATGAATATTTTAGTTTTCTGTCTACTGGGACACATGCTGTGCATTAATTAGCTTTAATTAGAGACCTCAATATTGCACATTCATTATGTTAATGTAGTGTGGTGATAATTGCAGCTCATTAAGCTGCTCAATTACCTCTTGTTTGATGTTTTACATCACTTATTTTTCCATTTTGTAAGTTTGGCGACATATCTACATTTTAAATGAATGCAGACTCATGCTCCTTTTCAAGTGTTCAATATTCTTTAATGGAAAGATAGTTTTAAAATGTTCACTCAGAAACTGCCTCAATTCATCCAGTGACTCAGCAGTATTTTTGAATGGTTTAATTGCAGGTAGTGTTAAATAAGAAATGTGTGTTTCTACCTTGCAGACATCCTGTAAAAGCTGCATAATAAAGCTGCACTGTCTGACATGTGTTTTCCTCTTAATCCTTTAGATCTTTACCACTTTGGAGGTGACCAAGAGCTCCGGTGGAGACATCGCCCAGTCCGGTTGCTGAGGTTAAACCCTGCTCGTTTAGCGGGCTGCTCTCATATTGGACTCTCCTACCATCACCTCTCATCTGAGTCAACCTTTTAAGCTCAGCCTCACCTTCAGCCGCTCACTTTACAGGGCGGTTGTTTCTCAGGACAAACCGAACAGCGTGGCCGGCGCCTGAATCAGTGTAAGCGCTCATTCAGGCTCGCTGGGAGCTTAAGAGGTGACTGACAGAAGCCAGAGCGGAAGATGTGAGAGTCTCCAGCTCTGGCTGAGGTAGTCTGATACGAGGGCAGCCTGCTGAACAGCGGGGTTACTCTGCTGGTATTTTTACAGGGCTCCACCAGTGTGTCTTTCTCAGAGGAGCACCAACACACACACACACACACTCTACTGTTGAGTATGTGCGTGAGTTTGGGCTATTTGTGACGTCCTGGCCCATAACCTGAAATACTGAGGCGGGCAAGGATCGATGTACCTCTGCAGAAGCGCCTGGTGGTGGCTCTAATCCTTCGTCCAAACCCCCGACTTCAAACACTTCTCATTCACCCCCACTGTACGGATGGCAGATTTCAATTGGCATACAACCAGGGTTTGAATGGATGCGCGGCTCTGAACTCTGGTCCAGCTTGAGAAATTGATTTAATCTGGTGTGTATGTATGTGTATAGATTAAATGTTACCATGTCTCCTGTGTTGAGCCTTCGTCATTCCACACAATCCTCTTACCAGGTCTTTAAGATGAAATTGAGGTGTATACATGTTGCTGTCAATATTTGTCTTTGCTGTGTGGAGGCACCAGGGGTTTCTGCCTTTTAAAGAGAACTCTTTTATCTCTACAAAAGCGATCATCTAAACAAGTCTGCAGAGATAAAGAGCCGACAGATGTACACCTTTCAAACCTTGTTGTGCTGCAACACTATCAGACAGAATTGAATGGAAAACACAGCCTCAAATGTACTGGATGTTGTGTTTTTAAAAAAAAAAAGTTTTTACTCAAATAATTTAATGCTTGTATGTTGCATCTTGCTGTTTGCCTCTGCATTATGTGTATGTAAAATATATATTCAATCTTGTAGAGGACAGTATTCTGGCTGCTGTGAGTGAGTGACATTGGTCATCTGTATAAATGACTTGTTTGTCGGTGTCAAACCACTGTAGATTACTACTCTCTTAAGATTTAATAAAGGATTAATTCCCCTTCAGTTTTCTCAGACTTTTCAGTTTGAAATTGACCTGCAGTCATAACATCTTTTGTGTCATCAGTTTCCTACAGAGTAATAGTTATCAGCAACCTGCTCATAGCTCATATTTATATTGTGTGCTTGTAATAAAACCTGTGTTGCGTAGTGGGTTTTATCACACTAACTGGATTGCTGCAATTATTTCCATTAACAACCACTGAAGACTGTCCATGCACCCCTTTAACAGTTCCAACACAAAATAGCTGAATATATTTTCGGCTCTGATATTGAACCAACTTTCTTTGTAAATGGGGATTTGCATTAACAGTGGTAATACATGTTTTCATAAGTTTTAACATTACAAAGAATTACATTCAGACCAGGTCTTTGTGTTGTCCTTTATGGAGCCCAATATCAGTGTTCAGTACTAAGTAAAGACATCATGGGATTAATAATCTCAAATGAATGCATTTAGCAAAATATATACATTACCCAATACATTGTGAAACTATTTAAAGCTGCAGTAGGTCATTTTTATGTCTGTCATATTTGCTGAAACTTTCACTATATCCTGACAGTAGAACATGAGACAGATAATCTGTGAAAACATCAGGTTCCTCTGGCTCCTGCTAGTGCTCCTAATGGTATTTCAAAAATCCACCGGGCCTGAATGAAAACAACCAATCGGATGCGACAGAGATTGGTAATTGTTGAGTCTTTTACAGGGTGTTGAATACAGATGTTTTGGGACCCTGGGAATAACCCCCAACAATCAACTATTTTCAAGCCACCAATCCAGAGCGTCTTTATATCTCTCTTGGCTCTGATTGGTTGTTCTCATTTGTAACAAGGTTGCTACCTTGTTATAACTTATACATCCACAGCTATAGCATGCTCCCTAGCTATACCTATGCTTGGATGTGAGCCTGGATTATTACTCTTCATGTTCATTCTGCAGTGAAGATATTAACAATAATCTTTGGAGTTTCTTAACTTATTTCGCAATATTCATTTAGTCCCGGGGGCCCTCATGTCTCCCGCTGCAGCACAGTTGAAATAACAAAGAGATGGTGGGAGGATATGTTGAGTTCTGCTCATACACAGGTACAGTGGATCAAAATGATCTCGTTTGAGTAGGCAGCCTATTCACGGCGTCTACATCAGAGCGCCGTGGAGCAATAATAGCATCATTTCCTCTGTGTGTGTGTGTGTGTTTCTGTGCCACTATTCAGCCTCCACAAGTGGCGGTCTTGATCAATAGCGTCTGGGCTGGTGTGAAGCCTTTGTTGGGTTCACCGGCTCACATCTGAAAACACTGTCACCTGCACGGGTTGCCATGACAGCTCAGGCTTTGATGAGTTTTCTTTTGGCTGATACCCGTTTTTATTGAGGACAGCCTATCAGCGATATGAGCAGGCTAATTGATTCGCTGGTGTTTGTTATTCCAGCAGCGCACAGAAACAGAGCTCTGTTTAAATGTTGGTGAGGCCGTGCTGAGGGCCTCAGAGCTGAAAGGCACCTATCTCCACATTATTTCCACCCTCATACGACCAAAGGAACGAGGAAGGATCGCAGTGTTAGTCCACCAGGTCACGCTGCACTGAGGGGCTGATCATCCACTGAATGTATTTCTCTGAAACTACCAATTAAACAACTTGTGACATGTTGTGTGTCTCTTTGTGGTTGTTGCGTGTATCTTTGTAATCGTGTGTTTCTATGGGTTTGTTTTGTGTCTCTGTGGTTGTTTTGGGTCTGTATTTGTAATGTCTCTGTGGTAAAGCGAGCTCTTCTCCATTATAAATCCTGTAATTTACAGTAGATGGCAGTAATGTGGAGTGTTATTTGGGGGGGGATCACTGTGATTTGCAATCGTGAGTGCTAGGCATGTGATAGCTCTGTCCTTTATGTCTGACAGACTGGGTGTGGATGGGAAATCAGTTGATTTTGGAGGCAGCGTTTGCGATGCCAGTACATTGGGTTTTTTTGGACATGGTAAAGGAGCAGGTACAGAAGAGTGTTTTGAATATCTTGCAACAACCAACCTGCAACTGTTCAGTCTTTTTATTCAACCACCCTGCAATAAGGAAGTTACATTTGCAACAGCGAATGATGAAACTAGAGAAAACAGTGGACTTCAGTCTGCCCTCTTCCTCTGTCTTGTAATTTAAATCTATTAGCTTCCCTGCTTATGACTGATATCATCTGTAGTAAATTGACACCACTGTGCTATAAACTGACACCAATGTAACCCTTAATTTGAAAGACCAGGCAGCTTCCTTTGACTTCTGAAGCAGATGGCAGCTTTGTGGGCGATGTAGTTCAGGATAAAGTTTCCAGGAAAAGCTTGAAGATGCCAGAAAGAAACTCAAGCCTTTGCTGACTGGAGTGGAGTGTAATCACTGAGAAGTCAAAAGTCATCCCTGTCTCACTATGACTTGCTAGTTTCACAGCACACTACTCATGCTTACATAATCCAATTTCACATGTATCACAACTGTGGACATAGAATGACTGGAAATTCCTTTTGTTTTGTGCTTGTTGGAAATGATTAACATACATAAAATAGAACGAGTTCAAGTCAGTTCAAACTGCTGCTGGAGCGAGCTCTCCTAAATGTATTAAAGGCAATTCAGAAATTGGCACATATGTTCTGGAAACGTTTAAAGATACAAAAATTATCAAATCCTATTTCATTTATACTTTTTTATGTATTTATTTATTGCTTTACATCCCTACCACATATGACCCCAGTAGGTCTTGCCTCCCTATTTGTTATGTCACCCTCAGATTTAGTTTATCACTATATGAGGGACAGTTTTGTAATATGTTGAATTCTGTGCTTAAGGCTACGCTCAGTGCTTACTTTCCCTCTACCACTACCAGCAAACGGTGCCTCTTATGACTTTTACCATTTATCTATTAAACAATTTTTATTTTCATTCTTGTTATAATAATTTACTCTTTTCTCCCCCTGTTGTTACAGGTTATGGGAGGGGGGTTGGTGTTTTTAATGCCCTGTAACTATTGAACATTATATATTAAAATATATATTTTTTAAATTGGATTTGGATAGGACAATCACCAATAGAACCCCCCCTGTGCCCCATGAAGCGAACAAGAACTGGCTAAATCTGTTAAGCCCATCAGTTCAAAGATAGACACTATAAGAAATCTCAGAGATGGAGCGAACAACGTACACAAAGAGAAATGAAGTATGAAAGAAATTCATTCATTTATGAAATGTATTTTCACACTAACTAATATTAACACCACAAACAGGAAGATCTTAGGGAAACAAACATAGACTTACTTGAGAATATACATTTTATACTCTCTCTCTCTCTCTCTCTCTCTCTCTCTCTCTCTCTCTCTCTCTCTCTCTCTCTCTTTGTTACATGTGCTTAAGTAAAGTAATTTCCCCACAGGGATTATTAAAGTATTTCTGATTCTGATCACTCATTTCTTAATAAAAATTAGATGAACTTGTATATTTCTTTGTGTTGGTAGCACTGGGTGTTTGGATTATATATATATAAAAATGCAAAAACATGTAAACATACAGAATACTTTGAGGTACCATCAATGTTCTGCAATAAAAGTATTTTTTAAAAATGGATTTCAGATGACATCCCCGCACTGGACTATTGGTATAAGGCAGTTCTTCATGACAGTGTCCAGGGATGAATTAAGATACAGGTTGGACCTGAACTCTGGCATATCCTAGTAACTTAAATGTAATGTGTGTGTAATGTGTGTGTGCTGTATCATGTTTGTAAAGTTGTGACCCCTGCTGTTTTTGTTTTGTTAAGGCAGTTCAATGAAAAAAATTTGGTTCTGTACATATCAAGAACTGCAAGTACAAGTAATTGTTGCCAGAACTTCAATAAAAAAAACATCTGGAAAAAGAAAAAAATTTAAAAAATTTAAAGAAAGTGGGGATGTCCATCAAAATAGATGCATTCCTCTGTGTAATGTATGTTGGTTATGAGGCAAGAAAGAAATTTCTATTTTTTTTTTATATGGACACAACTTTATTGCATAATGAATCATTTCACAATAACACAAATTCATTTTACTTACACTTTATTATTATTAAATAGAAAAACTAAGGGTGCATTCTCCAGAATTTACAAACTCTTATGTGTTATAGAATAAGGTTTGGGCCATTCAGTTTTAAAACAAATCTGGAAATCCTTCAACAAGTACATGGCTCCTCTCCCTGTAGTAGTCATCAGCTCATGCAATTTAAGATTGTGCATTGTGTTCATTTAAAAGAGATATACAAAATATATCCAAATTTAGATTACACTTAAATGATCTCCAACTACTCTGATTCAATGCCCTGAACTTGTGAACCTCTCTGTGAGCACTCTGATGCTGCTTACAGTCACTGGCCTTTAGAGGGCAGCCCAGTCTCACAAATATCTGCCTCTTGTTCTGGCCTTACGCACTGAGAGGACACAGTATACTTTTTATTACTGCATGATTGACTTTGCACCATAATGTGCCATTACATTCCATTACATCCTCAGAAGTCGAGGCACCTTCTGTAGCCACAGAAAAGTTAGAAATGCTTCCCGCTGTAATGAGCTACCACACCAACTCTTCTGCATCTAAATGGGTTTAAATGATTGATTTGTTTCTGTTCATCACACACATATTGCACACAAACAAGGCATCATTGTTTATATTAAAATCTCTTTATTTCCTCTGCTTTGATAAGCGTTGCTACAGTCTGCTACTTTAAGGTACATGATGTTCCCTATAAACCAGCATGTGCCTCCTCCTCCTCCTGCTCCTCCTCCTCCTCCTGCTCCTCCTCTTCCTCCTGCTCCTCTGCTGCAGAAAATGTGTTTGTAATGAATCTTCAGATCAGGTTTTACACAATAGAATAGGGCTTGCAGCATATTGAGTTGAGTCATGGCCTGTTGGATAGTCTGAGAGGGAACACACCTCTGCTCTTTCTGTATCCTCATTTCTCACACACACACACACACACACACACACACACACACA